AAAGTGTGGCCGGCACAATCTGATCTCCACAGTCCACATTGCCGAGAGAGAGACAGAGAGAGAGAGAGAGAGAGAAAGAGAGAGTGAGAGAGAACGAGGTCTGTCTGGGTCCTCAACCCGTCGACACCCTTCGTCTGTCGACCAGTCTCGCGGCATTTCCGGGCTGATGCCATATTTTCGGCATGTGACTATTTGAGCCCATCTTCAACGACGTCTGTCCTCATGCTTGTCGGACAGACCGACACTTTGGTCGTGGCCAACATGGCGCCGGTCGGTTGTTCTGTCCTCCTCTCGCCCACCGGCATTGGCCAAAGTCTTTTCTCACGTCGTGCCGGTCTCGATGTCACCTTCTCCGGTGACGAGATTCGCAGCAGGACTTGGCTTTTATTGCTGGCAGGCTGTTTAACAGGCGCTTAAGGCTTCTGCAAAGACGGTTCAACTACTGGCCATCGCGGCCGACAGAAAGAAGCAGAGAAAGAGGTGGAGAAGTGGCCAGAAGAGCAGCGGATTGGAGTGAGAAATGAAAATAATATTTCATACATTGCCAGAATTACATGCATGCTCTTTGTCATGCCATGTGGAGCGATCGGCCAAATAATGAACTATGAAACATGAAGTGGGTTGACCTCGTTGTCGCAACTTGGTCTTGTTGTCAAGGCGACTTAGTAGCACGCACCTAGTCCGAAGTCGTCTGCCATAGCAGTTGTCATGATTCCCAACATCAGACAGTGGACTTGGTACATTCTCAAACGGCGGCATCATCAGTCAGTTTTGCCATTCGCCGCACCAAGCAACGAACTCGTCAAAGAGACAAGTCAAGTCAATCCCTCGACAACCATTCTGTCTATCTATCTACTCTTTACCCTCTTATCCCACTTCCGCCACATCGCAACTTCTCGCTTGTTCACATTGCACTCGTCAAAATGTGTGCCCTTTTGTGGCCCCATCACACTTGCTATCTGCCCCAACCCCTCTCTTTCACAACAACATCTCGGTCTTCATATTTTCAATATGAAACATGAAGTTGTTTGACCTTGTTTTCACAACTTGGTCATGTTGGTAGGAGGACTTAGAGGAGACGATGCTGGCGAAACGTCTGAAAATGTACCACGTCCATGGTCCGACTTTGGAAATGATGATGCATACAATGGACTCAGGACAAGGTGCGTTCCTCTAAGTCTTCCTATCAACTATGAAACAACTTCATGTTTCATAGTTGATTTATAGGCCAATCGTACCACATGACATGACAAAATGTGCATTCAAGCTCTTGCTTGCAATTCTGGCTTGTAATTCCACTCTTCTGCTCTTCTGCCCCCTTCTATACCTCTTTCTCTCTTTCTTCCCACTTGCACACTTCGAAAGGAGACTGCGACCACACCATCTTGGTCTTCATATCTTCTATGGTCGGTATGGTCGCTGTCTCCTTTCGAAGTATGCAAGTGGGTTGACCTCGTTTCCGCAAATTGGGCGACTTAGTTGGACGCGCTAATACACACAAATACATACACACACACACACATACACACACACTCGATCAAGAGTAGCAGGACCAGTATGCAAGATAATTGGCCAAACCAATTTATATCTTTCTGGGTTTTTAGTTTTCTTTTGGTTGAATTGAGTCTATAAAAGAGGCAAGATAGAGCCGGATAGTCTTAACATGAGGCTGACAAGAGTGAGTTGCAGAACTGATGAAGTCCTTCGAATGATGAACGAAAGCTGATCTCGTTTTCACCCGAAACGAGCGAGGAGGTCGTGTGGACTGGGTCCACATGAACGTGTTATGAAAGCCAAATGGCTGCCTTACAACGGGACTCCGCCGTCGTGTTCTGGTGAGATCGGCCACCGAATCCGCTCATCAGACACTTGCATGCGAAATGGGAAACTGGCTGATTGGACTGCTGACCAATCGCCGCTCGTGTCTTTACATGAAACATGCTGGGCAGATGAGGGA